GGCTGTCCCAAGAACTGACACCAGGAGCCCTCTTGTTCAACCCAGGACAGCACAGCATTGCGGCTGTGTCTCCCTGCCAAGGACACAGGGTGAGGTGGCTTCTCCAGAAGAGCTGCACCCTTCAGGCAGAGCCAAGTGGTCACTCCAGGGACTAGGGCGTAAGAGAGAGGGGAGCACTCCAAGAGATTGCCTGCTGGCAGGCAATGGGATGCTGGTAGAGGTTACCTGGTGAAGAGGTAGCAGCGCCAGATGCTGCCAGTCAGGAGGGATCACCAAGCTGCTAGTGGGATCCTGTCCTCTGTAGTCCCTCCCCCACCCCAGTATTGCTTTGTCCCCATTGTGGCCAGCAGCGTCCCACTGTCTCTCTGCAGATCTGATAAAGAATCGGACTTGTCATCCCTTTTAAGCACTTAAACTTTAACCCTGAGGCCCAAAGCACAGTAACTTTGCCGACACTCTATAGACAAAATATCCAGGAGATCTCTGGATATCACCCACCCAAGCCCTGAGCTGAGCTTGGAGCTGAATAGTAAGACCCAGAGGAGAGCTGACTTTCCCAAGGACACAGAAGGCTCAGGGCTGACCTGGGATCCCCTAGGACATGTTCCAACCTGGCATATGGGGTAAAAATGAGATCATCAGCGCTGGACCCACCAGGTGCCCCAGTGGTGAAATAGGGCAAGGTAAAGACATTGGGGGATCTGGAGGGGACTCAGGCCTGGGATCCTAAGGGCCGTGAGCAAAGCCCGGTGGATACGAGGCCACTCTGCTTCACTCCCTTTGAGCGCCTCTGCAGCACCCCTGGTTTACAACTGTCACCGGGCAACGCGCCAAGGGGAGAAGCCATTCTGCTGCTTTTATAGTTCCTCCTCTGCGATTCTGGAAAATCAGGGCCGCTTGGGTCTGGCGGCTCTCTGTCTGGTTATTAGTGCTGTAATTGAGACTTTATCCAGCAGGTGGCGCCCAAGGACACGGGAAGGAAATGGAGCCGCTGCTCCCAGCCTGGCAAAGCGGTTTACAAGAAAGGGGTTTTCAGTTTCCCATGGTCGGGTGAGTTGAAGCAGACGATTGTTTCAAAATTTTCATCCAATTAATAAGAACAAGAAGTGTGCTTAGAATTGTCGGAACAGTTTGGTGTCTGTGCCGTCTTCTGAGCCCACACTACTCTCATTTTTGCAATACAGAGTGCTTATTTTTGTGGGGATTTCACAGCCAGGGCTCATTTCTTAGAGCCGATCCAACCTGTCGTTTCTGTATCAGCAATTACTGGAAATTTAGCAATATTCCCAAGGAAGGTCTATCATTCTACAGGGTGGCGATAGCAGGTTCTGAACTCAGCTTCTGGTGATCCCCCTCCAGGGCTCTGTCTACCCCAGGCTTGTCAAACAGCACCAAAGGCAGACAAGTGCAGACCTGGACGGCACCACAGGAATCCACCCTGGCTTTGGTGTCATTTTTATCCCATCAACCTCTGCCTCAAGGATCTGTCTTTCGGTCTTTGGGAGCTTGTTCTGGGAATCTCTGCTCCCTTTCACATCCAGAGAGGTCCCTGTTTCTTCTCAAATGGTTCCTTGTCTTCCCCACACCTTGATGATCTTCAGCTGGGCGGAGGTGAACTACTGCGATTCTCTAGAAATCAGCCCATTTGCCTAAGTCAGATTGTCTTGCTTCTGTATGATAAAACACACTTTCTAGACTGTGCAGTGTCTGAGTTGGATGCTCTCGTCTTGGTCACTTCCGGCTTAGGTTCAAGTGAGAGCCTGTACTTCAGCAGCCTGGGTGCGCTGCAGAACGGGAGAGCTGCCAGACCCCTGCTGAGATCTAGGTGGCATTTAGGTGACCTTGACAGGGTTGCAGAGAAGTAAGCAAGAAACTTGAACAGAACAGAGTCGCCTTAAATGGGACCAGTAAATGAATGACAGTTTTGGTTTTTTGTTTTTTTTTTTTTTAACATTCCTTTAAAACGTATTTGTATTCATTGTTTGAGTGGGGATCGATGTACACGGAGGTCAGAAGATGACCAGCAGGAGTTGGTTCTCTCCTGCTTTCTATCCGGTGGGTTCTGGGATTGAACTCAAAGTCATCAGGGTTAGTGGCAAGCATTTTAAGCCATCTTTCCAGCCCCATTTGAATCACTACAAAATCATTACATCTTCCACAGAATTCTTCACAGTTGCCCCTCTTCTTGGAGACAGGGCTTCCTGCTGTAGCACAGGCTGCCGCTGGCTTTGAACTCAAAGCAATTCTCATGATTGAGAAAGCATACCTCCTGAGTGCTAGAATTACAGGCACAAGCCACCAACACTCAGTTGTACCCTCTTAGCAGCCCAGCTTAACATAAAGAATTAGGGCTGGAGAGATGGCTCAGAGGTTAAGAGCACTGGCTGTTCTTTCCAAGGTCCTGAGTTCAAGTCCCAGCCACCACATGGTGGCTGACAAGCTGGGCGTTGGTGGCGCACACCTTTAATCCCAGCACTCGGGAGGCAGAGGCAGGTGGATCTCTGTGAGTTCGAGGCCAGCCTAGGCTACCAAGTGAGTTCCAGGAAAGGTGCAAAGCTACACAGAGAAACCCTGTCTCGAAAAACCAAAAAAAAAAAAAAAAGAATTGGTTGGGGGCTGAGGCTGCACCTCTGTAGGAGAACACTTGGCCAGCATGCACGAGACTTTGGTTTCAACCCCCAGCACTAAATAAAGAAGGGAAGGAAGAAAGAATAGTTGATTGCGTATCCGCTGCCGTGAGAGTCATGGGAGGCTGTATGGACAGCAAGGCCTCAATGCCTTTCGAAGACAGCAGGAAGGGGCTGGCTCAGCAGGTAAAGACGCTTGCTGACCCATGTTGAATCCCCAAGACCCACAGCGGAAGGTGAGAAGTGACTCGCACAAGGTGCACTCTCAGCTCCACACTCATAACGTGGCAGTTCCCTCACACTCACACTAAATAAACTAATCAATCAATCAACGCTTAAGTCAATGTAGGGAGGAAGGCTAGGGACGGAGCTCAGTTAATGTTCTCTAGTTTGCACAAGCCCCTCGGTCAACAGGGATGGAGAGAGGTTGGTGAACCATTCCTGTAACCCTGGCATTTGAGAGGAGCAGGAGAGTTTTGCTGTACCTCCACGTGCTAGGCAAGCACTCTCTACCACTGAGCTATATCCCCAGATCTTCCTTCATTGTTTCATTTGTATATTTCAGGACAGGGTCTGTCTCAGTTGCCCAGGATGGTCTTGGACTCACTGTGTAGCCTAGGCAAGCCTTGTGGTTTGCCTGCCTCAGGCTTGAATCATCTTGCCTGACAAGATTGTGAGTCTGAGACAAACCTGGTATTACACAGCAGTTCAAAGTCCTCATGAGCTGCATGGTGAGACTCTTGAAAAAGAGCAAACAAGTCAACAGTGAACTGGGTGGTCTACTGTTTGCCTGCCACGTTCAAGGCTTGGGGTTCCAGCCCCAGCTCAAGGGTGTGCATGCCCACGCGCACGTGTGTGTGTGTGTGTGTGTGTGTGTGTGTGTGTGTGTGTGTGTGTGTGTATGAATCAATATCATTGTACTTTATCACAAGAAGGGGACAAAAGACCAACTCTGCTCTGGATGACAGAGCTGGGGTAGCTCCTGCCTGCTCCTTCTTGGTCCATGTCCTGGGTTGGAAGCATTGCTGGCCAACATGTTGAGTCCTGGGGCTCAGCTCCCCTTTGCACAGTTCCTGTGCCCATCCCTGTGGCTTGTGCTCCTGCGCATCTTGCTGTGGATCTGTCTGCTGCGGGTGGGGCTATTCTCCTGGGCCTGGTGTGTTTTTATAGCACTCTAAGTAAACAGCACAATTACACCACGCTTCGGTTATATGTGAGAAAAGCATTCCATTTCAACGTTTAAATCATGCGGGTTTTTTTTTTTTAATGCTGTTTTGACATTTCTTTCTTTGGTAACATCCCAAGTCCCCTAAGATGTGGCAGTGGCCTCAGTGCCTCATATCATCTGAAATACTGTGCCCCCCCTCCCCTTTGTGATCCAAAGGTCACCTTGTCCTGCAGTCCAAATCTTGTAAATAGCCCATGTGAAGTCTCCAAGAGTCTGGGCTGCTCCTGCAGGATGGGATGTTTGTTTTGTTTTGTTTTTGTTTAAGACAGGGTCACAGTATGCAGTTCCTGGCCTGAAACTCACTATGTAGATCAGGCTGGTCTTGAACTCACAGAGCTGTCTGCCTCTACCTCTACCTCTGAAATGCTGAGATTAAAAGCGTGTGAAACCGTACTGGGCAAATTTTGGTTATTTCACATCAACAACCATCGTAAGTAATTTCTTCTAAACATACAAACTTGGCTTTTCTTCCAAACAGGAGTCAGAGGTGGCCAGCTCACGATAAAACTGCATGATGGAGCTGGTGCATGCCTGAGAGTCCAGCTACTCAGGAGGCTGAAGCAGGAGGGCCAAAAGTTCAAGGCCACCTGGGCAACTTAGTGAGCGCCTGTCTCAAATTAATACCCCCCCAACAAAAAGACAAAAACAAACACAAAAATGACAAAAATCTGAAGGGCTGGGGATGTGAATCAGTCAATAGAGTACTTGGCTAGCATGTGGGAGACCTGAGTGTAACCTCCAGGACAAAGTAAAATGAGAGTTGTGAAAGGGTGGAGCTTATCTGTGACATTCCTGCTGTCCTTGACCCACCAGCCACCTAGGCCACCCAACAGGTTCAGAAGGAATCCAGCTGACTTTCCTGAGCACCTCCCCTCAGCTTAATGTCCCTAGAGCCTCGCTTGATCACCTCTGAACCACCTCTCTGTTCTTACAAGTTAGCACATCTGTTGGGGACACTGGTATTCATAGGTTGGGGACACTGGTATTCATATGATGTTGTTGGTAAGGTGCAGGGTCCTTCAGTGACATCCCAAGACTGCAGCCCCTTAGCTGAAAAGAGGGAGAGTATTCCTACTGGGGCGGGGGGCGGGGGGGGGGGGGGGAGAAGGTGGAGAGGTGTGTTCCAAGGAGCCCCGGCAGTCGCCTTGATATGCACCTGGCCCAGGAATGGGTTTCACCTTCCTTCCTAACTGCTTTGTCTGTTTGCTTCTTTAGGTCCTAGTGGGCCAAAGTGGCTTCTGTTCCAACACGTTCCTGTAGAGTGCGAGACCCGCAGCTTCAGCCTGGAAGCCGGTGAGTGCTCTTGTCTCTTTGGCCAGGAGTCTGGATGCTGTCTACGTGCAGCTTTCTGACACCTATGTTAACCACTTCCTATTTGTAGAAAACGGGTGGGGCCAGGCCTGCTGCTTCCTGCATCCCCGGAACTCTGCAGGTCTGTCTGTCAGAGAACTGGATGACAGTGCAGGCAGAACAGAAGGACCCTGTCTTGGGGAGTCGTGGGAGTCTTCCCTGATGGTTTCATGCTGGAAATACTCCATCCTAGGATCTGGGGCTGTTATCTCTGGCTCACTCTTTGGGCCTCTACTGCCCCTTTAGAGCAATTGGGTGGGCGATCTTTAGCTGAGCTCTAATTTAGTGAGCATTCTATCTCTGTCCTAGACACCCCTACATCTCCCTCCTCCCCCCACTCCAGGACCTCAAAGCCAGGATGTCACCCTCTGTCCTACAGAACAACCCCAAGTCCCTCCTGGCACAGTCCCTCTTCTGTTCCCCGACTAATTAATTGATGGAATCCTACAGGAACATACATGAGAGATCAGGTGTCTGTACTGTTTGAATTAGGAGAGAACTGTTTGCCTTCTATGTCCCTTTGGTGAAAAGAAATGAGTCAGGGTGGGCAGGGGGAACCCGGTTGCAGCTTGGCCAATAGAGTGCTTACCTAGTCTTGTGCAGAGCCCCGGGTTCCATCCCCAGCACTGACTAAACTTGCACAGTGGCACTCAAGAAGCAGAGTCAGAAGTTTATAGTCAACCTCAATGACACAGTGAGCTCAAGGTCAGTCTGGACCACGTGAGACCCTGTCTCAAAAAGAAAAAGAAGGCCCAGGGCGATGGAGAAAGCCTTGAATCCCAGCACTTGATAGGCAGAGGCAGAAGGGTCTCAGTGAGTTCAGGCCAGCCTGGTCTACATTTCAAGCTCTAGGATAATCAGGACTACAAAGAGAGACCCTGTCTCAAAAGAACAAAACAAAACAAACAAACAACAACAACAGCAAACAAACAAAAAGAAAAGGAGAGCCTGAGGCCAGCAAAATGATTCAGTCAGTAAGAGTGCTTGCTGCCGGGGCTGGAGAGATGGCTCAGTGGTTAGGAGCAATGGCTGCTTTTCTAGAGGACCTGGGTTCAATTCCCAGCACCCACATGGCAGTGCACCACGGTCTGTAATTGTAACTCCAGGAGCTCCAGCACCTTCACACAGGCAGAAACACCAACGCATATTTAAAAAAAACAAGTGCTTGCCACCAAACATGACGACCTGAGTTCAGTCTCCAGAACCACATGATCAAGGGAGAGAGCTGTCTTCTGCAAGTTGCCCTTTGACCTCCACATATAAGCTGTGGCATCTGTCGCTACCTCCTCAACACCGTGACCCTGGGGACTGAGGAAGAATCTGCATTCAGGGTCGTCACTGGGGCCCTAAGATGTGCTGCCCATTCAGGGAAGGCTCGGTGCTGTGGGATGAAAGGCTGAGACAGTCCATTGCCCATGTTACAGATGAGGAAATCGAGGTTCAGGAAGATTAAATAAATGTTTCAAAGGTCACCGTGAAGCAGTTAAGTGTGCGAATGACAGAACTGACTTCCAAAAGTTGTTCTCTGATTGCCACACACACAGTTGCAAGTTGTCCTCTGACCACACACACACACACACACACACACACACACACACACCATAAAAGTAAATAAATAAGTGTAAGAAGAAAGAAGAGGGGAAGGAGGGAAAACTTGTATGGTGATACATGTCTGTAATCCCAACTCTTGGGAGGTGGAGGCGGGAGATCAGGAGTTCAAGGTCATCCTCAGCTACATAGTACATTTGAGGCCAGCCTGACATTTGAAACTATATCTCTCTGGAGTTAGTTGTGGGCAAGTTCATTTAGGTTTTGACTCTTGGTGAGATGAGGACACACGGGAAGGTTTTTCATAAAGGAATGATGTGAGTTGCCCCCCTTTTATATATATCACTCCTGTCCTGGACGCTCGCTGTATTGAACTTGGACTCTAGAGAGCAAGGGTCAAGTGAAACCAGGTAGGACACCATGACAGTCACACAAGGAGGGGCACTGAGTGATTTGGAAGAGATCAGAAGCAATGTGCCAGGAAGGTAGAGGAGTCCTGACAGCGGTGTGCTTTGGGTGGGAGCAGCAGGCTTGGCTGTTGGATGTGGTGGCCTGTAGCGTGTGTGTGTGTGTGTGTGTGTGTGTGTGTGTGTGTGTGTGTGTGTGTGTGTGCCTGCCTGGTCTTTGGAGCTGGGATGACCCCAGAGGAGCACTGTGTGTAGGTGGGGTGCTGATGGGACCTTCGCTTTGCATGTGATTCCTGTACACATCCTGAGACTTTGCATTAATAATTGTTGGAGTCGGAGGATAGGGTGTGACTTCGGGTGTCTGTGGACAAATGTCACCGAAAGTCCAGAGTGGACAGGATCATCAGGGGGAGAAAGGGAGGTAGAATAAGGCTATAAGGGCCACTCCCTGACATCTGCCAGCTGGAAGAGGGAGGAGTGCAGAGGAGGAGCCATCGGAAGAGACCAGTGAATGACAGATGATATTGCCAAAAGCATGACAGGGTGGCATCGGACATGCAAAGACCAGGAGGAAATAGAGTTCCAAAGACCAGGAAGCAGAAGCCACTCCCTGGGTCAGATGTGCGGCCAGCCCGCCAGACTGGGGACTTGGAATCAATGGTTAGATTGATTGATGGGGAGGTCCCTTGAGACCTTGACAATAGATCAGACAAGGTCTTTTGTTTGTTTGTTTTCTTTTTACATTCTGTGTGTGTATGAGACATTCATATACTCATGTTTACATATGTGCAGGCACACGTGGGGGGGTGTACTGCACATGAGTATGTGTACACGTGGGACCCTGAGGTTAATGTTGGGAGTCATTCTCAAAGGTTCTTCCACCTTATTCAGTGAGGCAGGGTCTCTCACTCAAACCCAGAGCTCACCAATATGGCCAATCTAGAGATCTCTGGTCTCCACCTTCCGAGGCTGGAATTACACGTTGGCTAACATGCCCATCCAGCATTTAGGTGGGTCCTGGAGATTTGAACTCTGATCCCCACATCTGGGCAGCAAGTGCTTGATCACCAAGCTGTCTCCCCAGACCATGGGTTGTGTTGTTTTTGTTGTTTGGGTTTTGAGTTTTGAGACAGGCTCTTTTTATATAACCCTGAAACTGGCAATCCTTCTGCCTCAGAGTCTCGTGTTCTGGGATCACAGGAACACACCACCACACAGGATTTGAAGTAGGCTTTAATGCTACCTCCCTAGACATACTAGACATGAAATTAAGGCTCTCTCAGACTTGAGGTGTGGGGTGGGGTCAGGGCAGCAAGGTGAATGGGTGCTGCTCATGGGCTATCCGACCTATAGACCCCACTGGTTGGTGTGATGGGGGTGGCTGGACTCCACCATGAACTTCTTGCAGAAATGCCTTCCAGTCCCTGGTCTACGGATCCACTGGATCCCGTGCTAGCCTATTGTGACCAACAGGCCAGGTGTGTTGGCTGCCAGGCACAAGGACCCAACAGAACTTTAAAAATAACCTGCTAGGGGGAATTAAGGATGGTTTAGTGGATGAAAGTGTTTGGCACACAAGTATAAGGACCTGAGTTCCAGTCCCAGAACCCACAGAAAAGCAAGACATGTAGCCAAGTGTCTGTAGTCCCTGAGCTCCTATGGGGAGATGGGAACAGATTCGGGAGAATCCCAAAAGCTTGGGGACCAGCTAGTCTGAAATATACTGTGGCGAACAAGAGACTTTATCTCAAGATGGAGGGAGGTGGCTGATACTTGAGGTTGTCCTCTGACAACCTGAGATTGCCCAGATTCACACACAAGAATGTACACACACACACACACACACACACACACACACACACACACACACACACATACAGAGTTTTATAAAAATAATAATTTGCTAGGGCTGAGGTATAGCTTGGTTGGTAGAATGCTTGCCTAGTGTTCACAAAGTCCTGGGTTCAACCCCCAGTACTGCAGAAACTGGTCGTGGTGGGCTGTAGAGGTAGCTGCACTTACAGAGGACCTGGGTTTGTTTCCCAGAACCCACATGGTGGCTCACAGCCTTCTGTTACTCCAGTTCCAGGGGATCTGATGCCCTCTTCTGACTTCTACAAGCATTGTACTAATGGGGTGCACATATATAATGTGCAAGCAAACACTCATACCCATAAAATAAATAAATGGGATGTGGTGGCCCAGGCCTGTACTCTGAAACATCAGCCTCTAGAGGCAGGAGGATCCGAAGTTCAAGGTCATCCATCTGATACACAGGGAGTTCAAGGCTAGCTGGGCTAAATGAGACCCTATCTCAGAAAAAAAAAAATTTTTTTTTTTTTGTTGGTTTTTCGAGACAGGGTTTCTCTGTAGTTTTGCGCCTTTCCTGGAACTCACTTTGTAGACCAGGCTGGCCTCGAACTCACAGAGATCCGCCTGCCTCTGCCTCCCGAGTGCTGGGATTAAAGGCGTGCGCCACCACCGCCCGGCAAAATTTTTTTTTTTTTTTTTTTTAAAGAAAGAAAAGCATCTGTTCCTCCCTTTCAGGCGTCATCCTTGTGCTGTGTTTGGATGTCTGGGTTGTAATCAAAACCCAGTGTTTGTTTATTTTTTCTTTTTTTTTTAAAGAGATTTATTTATTTTTTATTTTTGCTTTTTTTCTAACTGCTTCTTTGATCAGTCTTTATCCAAATAAACTGTCCCAAATTACTTGACAAAACGGCTTTTTTTTTTTAGGTTTTTTTCTTTCTTTCTTCCTTTCTTTTTTTCAGTTTTTAGTTTTTAGAGGTCTTGTTAGGGAGCCCAACTGACCTCCTCCTGCCTTGGCCTCCAGCCATGCCTGCAAGTAGCACAGGAACTCACAGGAGCCTGTGGAGAGGTCAAAGGACAGATTATACAAGTGGATCCTCTCCTTCTCCCATGTGGGATCTAGGGATCAAACTCAGTTCCTCAGGCTTTGCAGCAAGCCTCTGTACCCACTGAGCCATC